AAATTTCCTATTGACTTCCCCTAATTTGTATACCAAATTCCACTTGTGGTTCACCCCTCGATAGAAAAAAAAAATAATGAAACAAAATAGAGGAGAAATTGAATTAAAATACTGAAGGCGAGAATACTGCAATGACAAAATACATCAGAAAGGAAGTTGAATGAGAGACGGAACATTCCTTTAGATTTTCAATGATTTCCTTATGATTTTCCCTGATTGCCTTAGATTTCCTCAAATTTCCTCTTCACTTCCCCTGATATTTATACCAAATTTCCCTTCTGATTTACCCCTCGAAAGAAAAGAAAATAATAGAAATAAAATAGGAGAAATTCAATTAAAATACCGAAGGTGAGAATACTGCAATGATGCAATGACAAAATACATCAGAAAGAAAATAAAATAAGAGATATTTCTTTAGATCCCGACTGCATTAGATTTCCTCAAACTTTCTCTTGACTTCCCCTGATTTGTATACCAGATTTCTCTTATGTTTCAACCCTCGGAAGAAAAAAAAAATAGAAATAAGATAGAAGAAATTGAATCAAAATACTGAAGGCGAGAATACTACCATGACAAAATGGGTCACCGTCAATTCGTCGTAAATCAATATGTCGTACGTCAATTCGTCGTACGCCAATTCGGCGTAAAGTCAATTTGTCGTATATGTCAATTTGTCGTAAAGTCAATTTGTCGTACACGTCAGTTCGTCGTAAAGCCAATTCGTCATATACGTCAATTCGTCGTAAAGACAATTCGTCGTATACGTCAATTTGTCGTAACATTATTTCGTCGTATACTTCAATTCGTCGTATAGATAATTCGTCGTATACGTATAATCGTCGTATTTCAGGTATTATGTAAAAATCTTAAAATGTATAAATTTACATTGTCTAGTTATTTCAGACATTACCAAACTTACCGATAATAACCCAGTTAGTTTGCAATTTTAATCAGTCATTACATTGCAAACTAACCGGGTTATTATCGGAAAGTTTGATTTTGTCTGAATTAAATTGCAAACCATTAAAACGTTAATTCGTCGTATACGTCAATTCGTCGTATTGTCAATTAGTCGTATTTCAGGTACCTACGATGTTAAAATGTATAAATTTTCTCTTTAACTGTTCAGACGTTATCAAACTCACCGATAATAATGACGAATTACCTATATATTGTCGTATACGTTACTTTACGACAATTTGACGTATAGGACAAATTAACTTTACGACGAATTGACGTATACGTCGTATCCAAGCTACGACGAATTAACGTATACGACGAATTGACTTAACGAAGAATTGACGTGTACGACAAATTGACTTTACGTCGAATTGACGTATACGACGAATTAGCTTCACGACGTATTGGCTTTACGACGAATTGACGTACGACGAATTGACTTACGACGAATTGACATAGACCCTGACAAAATACATCAGAAGTAAAATAAGAGACAGGACTTCCTTTTGAGATTTCCCATGATTTCCTCTTATGTTTTCCCCTGACTACATTAAATTTTCTTAAATTTCCTCTTGACTTCCCCTGATTTATATACCAGATTTCCCTTGTGGTTTACCCCTCGAAGGAAAAGAAAATTGAAAATTCTGCAGAAAGCTTTAGCGAGGAGCACATGACTCACCCTGAACAAGGAGCCACTCGCACACCATTACCTGGATTTGGATAGGCATACTTGAAACCCCCAGAAAGTCCAGTTTCAAATTCCCATTTTTTCTTTTGTTAATATATTGGGCCTCTGTGAAAAGTGCGGAAGCTCATTCATTCATGTGCCTGGTTGTTAGTGGTATCAATTTTCAAACTTTCCAGAGAAAATCTCAAAATATAACACTGGAATTTGGACAAATCAGGTGGAAGAATGTTGCACGATGCCGCATAGAAATAAATAAAAGACGCAGAAGACTCTGGAATCGATAAAGAATACAAATGAGAACATTTATTCATCACGCGATAGCATCACTAAACGAATTTATTAGCTCGGAAATAACAGATCATAGCCTAATTTTTGAAATGACGATAACGAACGACGAGACTTTATCGATAGAGCGTTTTTTTTTTGACAGAATTTCACCTGCATCAATCACAGAAATTCACATTATTTTTTTTGTTGAGGAATCAAACAGTGAAAAAAACTGAGTGGCTTAAAAGTCTTAAAAGGCACGAGACTTTTATTTTGGAGTCTGCAAGGATACTAAGCGAGATTGAAGAAATTATGATGATTTTAAACAAACACTCGAGATAATCTTCATTAGTGGTAAAACAAGTAGAAATGAAGGAAAATGGAGATCAAAACTATCATATTGAAGATTATTTCCTTCATTCGTTAGAAGAATATGAGAGGATTTGGGGAAGAAGAAAGTATAGGTTTTAGAAGCTCAATGCAGAAGAAATATAATTTAAATGTTGAACCACTACAACGACCAAGCAAAGTTTATGAATCAGACAAAAGTAGAAAATATAGAAGTAAATTTCACCGTGAAATGATAGACTAAGCTATGGCAGAAACTAAACTTTTCATAGTCTCAAATGAGAGTCAAAACTAGGAAAACTCTTCACTGAATCTACTTACAGTTGAGAAAGAAAAAGTTTTAGGATTGTTCAAAACAGTACCTATTTGAGTCTGGATAAACTGAAAATTCATATGCTGTCCAATTCCAATTTGAATTTAGGGGCATATAAAAATGTGTCAAAGAATTTTGTTTGACTTGTCGAAGTTTGGGCTGTAGAAAAATAATCAAATACCTATAGATGGTTGCCAATAAACAATTTGGTATAACATGAAAGTAACTTTTCATATAACTAAAAATGTTCTATTCTATGAATAATACCATAGTATAAAACAGTTATGTGACATTTATAAAACAAAATTTGTCTTTGATATTTATCCTTTTGAATGTGACACATGCCAATCAAAATTCAAACAAAAACATAATTTGAAAAAACACATTTCAACACACTCAAATATTTATCCTTTTGAATGTGACATTTGCAAAGCAAAATTTAAAGCTAAACACGATTTGAAGAGACACAAACAAACACATTCTGATATTTATCCTTTTGAATGTGGCACATGCAAATCAAAATTCAAACAAAAACATAATTTGAAAAAATATATTTCAACACACTCAAATATTAATCCTTTTGAATGTGAAATTTGCAAAGCAAAATTTAAAGCAAAACACGATTTCAAGAGACACAAACAAACGCATTCTGATATTTATCCTTTTGAATGTGACACATGCAAATCAAAATTCAAACAAAAACATAATTTGAAAAACATATTTCAACACACTCAAATATTAATCCTTTTGAATGTGAAATTTGCAAAGCAAAATTTAAAGCAAAACACCATTTGAAAAGACAGAAACAAACACATTTTTTGATATTTATCCTTATGAATGTGACACATGCAAATCAAAATTCAAACAAAAATATAATTTGAAAATAGTTATTTTCCTAACAAGTGCGCAAAGTGTTACTTTTCCGCACGTGTTAGGAACAAAATTTTTCCTACGAGCTTCATATGGTAGGTAACAACAAAAATTTTAAAAAAAAATCGATAATTTGTTCAATTATTTTCAATTAACCTGAAGCAAACCTATTCATTCATCAAGAAATTACATAACAAAAAAAAAAAAAAAAAACAGAAAATTGAAATCCTCGTCAGAGCTGTTCATCTTAAAGCGTTTAAATTTGATGCGAAAGAAATTCTTGCATGTAAATGGAGAACACAAATCTAACAATGTGTCAAAGTTAATTATAGGTATTCAGTGTTTGTATAGATATTGGCTGATATAGAAACAGGAAAAATTTGTCATCATGTGTCAAAGTCGACAGGTGCACTTATTGTTGCTTGACAATTATTTTTACTTTTCGGCACTCAGTGCGGATAAGGCCCATATCCGCACTGAGTGCGGAAAAGTGTAACTTTGAAAACGGAAATGCGTGTGGAAAAGTACTACTTTGCGCACGCTCGTAGGAAAAACACATTTCAACACCCTCAAATATTTATCCTTTTAAATGTGACATTTGCAAAGCAAAATTTAAAGCAAAACACCATTTGAAGAGACACAAACAAACACATTTTGATATTTATCCTTTTGAATGTGACACATGCAAATCAAAATTCAAACTAAAACATAATTTAAAAAAAAAACACATTTGAACACTCTCAAATATTTATCCTTTTGAATGTGACATTTGCAAAGCAAAATTTAAAGCAAAACACCACTTGAAGAGACACAAACAAACACATTCTGATATTTATCCTTTTGAATGTGACACATGCAAATCAAAATTTAAACAAAAAATCAATTTGAAAAAGCACATTTCAACACACTCGTATATTTGACCTTTGGAGTGTGATACTTGCAATAAAAAATTCAGAAGGAAAGACCATCTAAAGAATCATAATCTAACAAACTTGGACTAGAAGAATTTCAAATGCAATATATGCGATGCCAAATTCAAAACCAAGGGAGAATTACAGAAACATATTATGACATACTCGGATATCTATTCGCTTCAATGTGAAATTTGCAAAGCAAAACTTAAAGGAAAAGACTATTTGGAGAGACACAAACTAACACATTGTGATAATTTATCGTTTTCTCAATGTCAACCGAAATCAAGATTACTTAGATTCACCCAAGCAATTGTAGGATTTTAATCAAGACAACAACAAAAAGAGAAGAATTTACGTAATTGCGTGCGTTCTATTCAAGAAGTGAAGTGATTCATTAAGAAACTTTCTTAATTAGAATAAACTTTTATATTGTAAACCGGTTCAAATTTATTTAGCAGCAAAACTCCTGCTCAACCGTCCGATCCGCTCGTCTTCTTCTTGAAGTTTTCTTAATTTTCTTATTTATTTTGACTTGGCTTGCGGAATTATTCATTGGACCTTAATATGGAGCGCGAAAATGTTTTTCTTTTGTAGCCTTCTAGGTAGAAATATTATTTATATTTTTATATTTTTGTTACAGAAAACTTAAAAATGGCTGCTTTACAATGGATTCTGGTGGCACTATTAATCACAACAGGTAAGAAAATAAGTACAAAAATCAGAAATTCTATTCTTATTTATTTGCTCTATTAAGCACAAATCGAAGGGCTCTTTAAGCCTCAAACAGCTTGAGGCGTTGTGCTCTGGCTGCTTTTATTGCTGAGGCATTAGTCATTTTAGAACGTTCCCTTCTTTTCTGCCTCATTCATATTTCATTCGGTTCATAATAATATGAAGTGGTGCGCTCCCCCATTGTAGGATTAATGGTAAAGTTTTGCCAGCAGGACTGAGGGAGGAAATTGCCGTTTGGATACAGGTGAAGAATTAACAATTCTATTCGTTTTCTCTTGAGTCGAAAAATCCATTTCGCAGACTGCAAAATTTATGGTTAAAAATAAAGGGAATTCCACTTAGAATAAATTTGTTCTCCCTGTCTTAGACGTTGCTTCCCAATCAGCCGCAGACGCGGAGGTCGGAGCTCCGTAAATTTCAAAGTGAAATAAGTTTCTGCATATTTTTCCATGGTAAATAACGTTTTCTCTTTGTTTCGAGTGTTGGCGTAGGTCTTTGTTTTGTGTGTTTGCAAGTTTCTTTGAGAGGATAATAAGTTTTACTCGAGAATGATTTCAATATTTGAGTTGAGGGTTATTTTTTTGTTGACAATTTCAAAGATTTTAGGCTTTGAAGCATCACAAAGTCTCCCAGGTTAAATCTGAAATATTATATTTTAAAAGAAATAATACAGCAACACTCTCCACTTGATTACGTTCAATAATAGTTTAATGAAAAATTACAAAATCTGGGATGTCAATTTAATGAGAATCATAAATGTAAGAATAATTTGATTCCACCCCACCTAAATATTTCTACTGGTCCTTCTGCCCTTAAAACTCATATGCTCAACCGAACAGTGAACTGAACATAGAAATGAGACATTCCAATTATTAGGCAATGCTCAATAAAAAATATACAATATAAAATGACCTCGTTGGGTTTATCTGCTCTGAAAATTCATATGCTCAACCGAACAGCGAACTGAACATAGAAATGAGACATTCCATTTAAGTATAGCTCAATAAAAAATATAGTACAAAAAGTAAAATTTAAATGTAAAGAACCTGTAGTCACTGCGCCCAAGTCGAGGTGTCATCAAGGACGATTAGCACTATCCCTCAGGGACCATGAAAGTGACTTCAGAACTAGGGTCACATGAAGTTAAGGGAAGCATGCCTCTTTAGTGAATGGGACCAATACTGGGCCTGGATGTAGGATCCCATCAGAAAACCAAACCACCGATGGTCTGCCCTTATTTAAAGAAAGGTGAAAAGACAAAAAAAACAGTCCTTCAAGTTTACAATAAGACACAAAAGCACATGACACCCTGAACAAGGGCCCCTCGCGACCTAGCAAAAAAAACAGGCACCGGCATCACCAGAGGCGGCTGCAGATAATGACAGGCTGGAGAAATAATCACAAACTCAAAGGATATTCAAGATAGAAAAGGATCCGTCACACACCCGGCATGTCCCAAAAAAATCACAAAAAGGCGGCCGAATCGACGAATAAAACTATTCATTCATTTAACCAGCCATATAACCACTCCGAACCACAGAGACAGAAATTTGAGGGATTGACCCCTTTAAGAACCCTTCAAGAAACCTGAGCACGTTCGCCAGAAATCAAAAGGGCTCTTTGACGTCATTGACGTCGACTTTCTTAAGCAAGATGTTAAGGAAGAGTCCCCGTTCTCAAGCAAAGTCGAGCGCAATTTAAATAAATGATAAGGTGGCTCTAGCAACCGGAAGGATTGGTATTATTCGAAAGGATACAGAGCCGGGCGATAATCATTGAATATAGATGGCATGGTTCCACGTGAATGGAAGCAGCACTTGAATCAGACCCACTCCCAATTACAATCCAAATCCAAACTTAAATGCAAACAAGTAAACTTGCTTGAATTATACGACAATAACCAACATAAACAGCAACATCGGTGATTACAATGAAAAACACCCAAAATACAATGGTAGTGTATCATAATATAAGTGTATAAGAGGGCCTTAAAAGCACGAGTTACATATTTCAAAACACGACGCGCATCGGAGTGTTTTGTAAGTCGCAAGGGCTTTTGGAGTTTATGCTGTTTCCCAGTCCTCCCTACTGGGCCGTCTGGGATTCGCTCTTTCCTCAATTCTGTTTGTTGGCCTACTACTTGGGAAGTATTTTCTCGATAGAAGGAGCGCACGCTACACGTGGAGGATTTAATTTTCTAGAAAATTAATAAAGAAATTAATGATTGAAAACTACAATATTACATGGATAAATATGATCAGCTACTGCCAGAAAATAAAATCAGTAAAATCAAATTTAAACTGTATGAAATCAAAGGTTAAACATTGAAGGTATGTATAAAGGAGATATAACCGAAATCCTCAAGTTGCTGCACGAAAACGGTGATCTTTTGGGCTTGTTGAAAAATGGATTTTCTGAAAGAAGCGGCTCCTTGGTAAAAAAACAGCTCTTCGCTAAAAAAACAGCTTCCCGGTAAAAAAAAAAACAGCTCCTCGGTAAAAACACAGCTCTCCGGTGAAAAAAAAAATAGCTTCTCGGTAAAACCCTAAGTAATAGAGACATTCCATGAACAACCATTACTTGAAAAATAAAATGTAAAAGGACTTACCACGAGGGGGTTCGAAATTCAATCTCAAATATAACGGTAATAACGAGACTTTTTGTTTAAATTTTTTGGGTAATCAATGGATTAGTGCCTCACGCAATTACTTTTACCCATTTGACCAAAATTGTATCTCTTACCGTTATATAATTAAGTGAAGTAGGTGTAGTTATGTGAATTTCTACCTTAAATTTATGTAGCTGTGTTTATTGAGCTATAATGGGGAAATAATTTTTGAAATAATTGGAAACGGTCAAGTTGATTTCCTTATTCTAACTCCCTAACAATACCGAACTTTCGAAACTATTTTTCTCTTTGTTCAGGCCTTGTGGTGAGTTTATGAATTATAGTTGTTGGTTTCTTCTATCATTAATAAAAAATGATGGTAAATTTAGTTTTTTTTTTATTGAAATTTGGTATGAAATTGACATTTCCCAATCACATATTTCAAAAATTATAAATTAGCTATCAATGATCGTTATCCATGAAAATATAATGAAGGAGAATCAATTTTTTACAAATTAGCTTCACTACGTAGAAATCCATCTTTTTATCATAATTTGGTTTTAATTTGTTGTTTGATCTATTTATTTTTTTAACTTCCAGCAGGCACAGGTTCAAAAACAAAAACTAAGCAGGAGTAGGTATATTCTAAACGTATAACTTACACGTTTTGCCTCCGGATTGGAACAACGAGGCTATTATATTGTGCATCTTTCAAAAAAAGGTTTTTTTTCCTGGATTTATATTTTCCAGATACAGGGCTTACACTATTTCTCTTCTGGCAAAGGAAAGCTTTAATGGATATTATTCTTGTTGACTTTGAAGGTTGGAAAAGCCTCTAAAAAGAAAAAAGTTTAAGCTCAAAAGTTGTGTTTTAGGAATTTTGTCTATAATTTTTCAGAAATTCATGCTGCAATTCCAAATATTGTTGTTTATGCATATTCATGGGTGCTGATGCCATTTAATAATAGTTTGGAAACTGATTTCTTGGAATTTTGTATGGTAATCGATTATTTGGACTTAGTAATGTAACATTTGAAATGTCACAACAACATATTTATTAATTAATTTCATATATTTTGGGCTCATCTAAAAATACTATTTCGTACACCTGGCGACATCTATGATTCTTCTGATTAGTTTTCCTAACCTAATACCGAAAATTATGTTATTAAGAGGTGGGTTCGGTTTGCTCACTCCGTGCACTCCGAATAACTCTATTCGCACTCCAGCCGTTTGGGTTAAGGTTCGGGTGTTGCTTTTTACCGTATTAGGGGTGACTCCATTAGACCTATTCACTCCACTCCAACTCCGCGCTGAATAGCCGAACCCAGCTAAGGTTATTTTTAAGAGAACCTTAGCGCTGTCAATTTTATAATTTCGACAGGCTTGACAGATCAAGAAACAAAGGACAGAACCATCTGGGTACTTGTGGCTTTTCTATTTTGTCGTAGGACCAAAAAGGTCGTCCATATTCTTAATTCTAAAAAATCTTAAAATTCTGTCTTTATTTTTGGCCATCGAGCCAATAGTTTGATAAATTAACTAGCCAGTAAAGTGATTAAACGTGTCCACTAGAACGTTTCTTGGAAAATCAACAGATTGTTGATTTTTGTGTAGATTTTGGAAAGTGAGATTACTATCGGCCGTACAGGTATGTAAATTCCTTTTTCTCTCTGATGAATGAGTCCTTAAACTTTTTCAATTCATTCAGGCAACTTTGGACAAGATGAAAAATCCGCGCCTGCACTTCTGAGTGAAAATTGACGAATTGGAGACCATGCTCTTCTGTATCTCAGAATAAATCTGGGCCCCCTTTTTAAGGAATGTTGGTGTCCTATAAGAAGTAGATCCCCAACCATTATTTGGTTGCCTCCAGCCAGTTTGGTGCTTCCAGATCTCAAATTTCTGAAAACCTGCAAGGACTCCGTCCAGGCTTGTATACTTATTTACCTATGGGTCCCGTAAACGTGCCATATTGATAATCGTTACTTATTACTATCTCTTTTTCTATTGCCTCCTATCGATTAGCTTTATTAGCTAATTAATATCTTTGTAAATATTAATTACCGTTACTTTTTACTATCTTTTTTCTATTGCCTCCTATCGTTTGGCTTCACTGACTAATTATTTAAAATTAATTAATTAATTCAATTACCGACTCGTTACCGTATATTAGTATTTGGCTAGAATAGCTAACTACTGTTTAATATAATTATTAATTTATTATCATCATAATTAGATATTTACCTCTATTTTCGTTTTCGTTATCATTATCTAGTATCCAATAATTATGGATTGTTATAATTATTACAAATTTATTTCTTTTATATCGAATACTGATCGATATAATAAATTGA